TAAAACGAAGCTATACCTAATAAATTCCCTGTAACCTACCTTACCCTTCTATTGTCAACCAATGTCTGTTTTATTTTTTAAAGAGCGCTGTTTGTCGACATTATTGTATTTGTGCTGCTTTTTCATCTATGTTTTCATTTCTTGTTTTCATTTTACTCATTATGCTCAATTAGTATTAAGCGTGTCATTTAAGTTTATCATGCCCGAAACGCTTTGCGTAATAGTGGCTTTAGGCATTGTATGTACTAGCTCTACCTATAAGTCAACCAATCTTTGTAAAAATTTATTGGATGTATGTACCTTACCTAAATAAACATTTTATTTTATTTTTTTCATTTTAAATGGCGCATAGCTATAAACCATTTGACACCCACAGGCGCATACCAAAAAAAAAAAATAATAATTTTTTCTTCCTAACCTGTTAATTTGTGTTCACTGATCACGGGAAAAATAATAAAAAAAATCGTAAGTGACATATATTGCCCACAATAGGGCGGGGAAGTGTGGCAAAAATCAGGCGCTGACTGAGCGTGTGTCCCTGGCGGTCTATTGATCGCCAGCTGTCAGGCCAGAGTTTCCACAAAGAGATAATTACCTAATTATTTCAATATCTCTGATTGATTTTTCGTAGTTTTTTTGCTGTAATATTAAATAGTGTGTAGTGTGATATATTTATATAATAAAATGAGTGAATCATCGCTGTACTCAAAAATATGGTGTGCATATTGTTGATTCAATTATGTTCATCAAACTGAACAAATACTTTGTCGGTTATTACACTATATACACAGGTTATATATAAGTATCTGCATGTTTTGTTCACCATGACGAACCACAAAGTTGGTATGCTGAGTGGCAGTGGAGGGCAGTGACTGGTTGCCACTGGCTGCCACTCCCTCCCTCACCTCACCTCACCGGACTTGCCACCATTCTCTACCCACCATACTGTTTTTGCTTTTATATACTGACATAATACATAAGTATTTACATGTTTTGTTCACCATAACTGTACATCTAAGCTTGTATGGTGAGTAAAGGCATAAAGACGTAGCTACTCACACAGTCAGCTGGTGGTGGCCGCCCTCAAGGCCAGACACACTAATATTTCTCCTCCAACAATACTGTGTGGTGTTATTATGCTATATACACACATTATATATAAATATCTACCTGTTTTATTCACCATACTTGTACAAATAAACTGGTATGGTGCCCAAAGACCATCGTGGTCATCAGTAAACAACATGATAAGTCCTGCAGACGACGCTCCTCCCTCACCAAAATGGCGGCTCCCAACCTCCTAGTCTCGCTGTTATCTCACACTATACACACGTTATATATAAGTATCTACATTTGTGTTCACCATAGCGAACCACTAAGCTGGTATGGTGAGGGCAGTCAATAAAAGGTGGCCACACACACTCAAAAGACAACGCCACCATCCTCCCTCCCACAGCATTACTCCTCCCTCCATGGAGCACAGCGCCAAATATCACCACAATCCTGCTATTATCAGAGCCCTGGTCAGTTTTATCACAGTCAGGGGTCTTCTGTAATAATATCATCGCTACATAATAGCATGAACAAGTATATTATGGCATTTTTAGGCGATGCTGTGGTCACAAGCTGAACAGCAGTGCTGTTAGCTCATGCTGCGTGCATCAGGCTTGGTTGCTCACTCAATACTGAGGCCAATAACACCCGGGAGTTTGGCCCACGATTTTAAAAAAAAAAATGGCGTCTGTTTACAAGAGCCCTGATGAAGGTGTGGTGAGGCCGTTGTATCCGCGGGCCGTTTAAATCTTGCGTAGTACTCCAAAGCATCACATGATGCGATGCGCAATTTACTGCAAGTCGGTCAAAGCATCATATGATGCGATGCGCAATTGAAGGGTTAAGTCATCTGACTCGCCCACATTCTCCTCCCACAATACTGTTTTTGCTATAATTCACTATATACAGACATTATATACAAGTATCTACATGTTTTGTTCACCATAACTGTACATCTAAGCTTGTATGGTGAGTAAAGGCACAAAGACGTAGGACCTCACACAGTCAGCTGATGGCTGCCGCCCTCAAGGCCAGACACACTAATATTTCTCCTCCAACAATACTGTGTGGTGTTATTACGCTATATACACACATTATATAGAAATATCTACCTGTTTTATTCACCATACTTGTACAAATAAACTGTTATGGTGCCCAAAGACCATCGTGGTAACCAGTAAACAACACCATCATCTGCACGGTGGCGTCATGCAGACGATGCCACCGCCCTCACCAAAATGGCGGCTCCAAACCTTCTCTTGCTGTTTATACCCTCTATACACACGTTATATATAAGTATCTACATTTGTGTTCACCATAGCGAACCACTAAGATGGTATGCTGAGTGCAGTCAATAAAAGGTGGCCACACATAGTCAGAAGACATCGCCACCACCCTCCCTCCCACAGCATTACTCCTCCCTCCATGGCGCACAGCACTAAATATCACCACAATCCTGCTATTAACAGAACCCTGGTCAGTTTTATCACAGTCAGGGGTCTTCTGTAATAATATCATCGCTACATAATAGCATGAACAAGTATATTTTGGCATTTTTAGGCGATGCTGTGGTCACAAGCTGAACAGCAGTGCTGTTAGCTCATGCTGTGTGCATCAGGCTTGGTTGCTCATTCAATACTGAGGCCAATAACACCCAGAAGTTTGGCCCACGATTTTTTTAAAAAATGGCGTCTGTTTAGAAGAGCCCTGATGAAGGTGTGGTGAACCCCGTGTATCCGCGGGCCGTTTAAATCTTGCGTAGTACTCTAACACGTCATATGACGTGCTGTGCAGTTGACTGGAACAACGTGCAACACGTCATATGATGTGATGCGCACTTTAAGGGATAACCCTCAAACCGCTAGGGGCCCAAATGGAATTCACACCCAGGTGCAACAAAAAAAAAATCCAAAAAATTCTTTTGTCTTATAGAAGTGTTCATTTTTGTTTCCTGATCACAGAAAAATAACAAAAAAATCGTAGGTGGCATATTTTAGCCGCAATAGGGTAGGGAAGTGTGGCGAAAAAGGGGCATTGACAGAGCCATTGCCAGACGAGGTCTACTCCATTCGAGCTGTCAGGTGGCAGTTGCCACAAATATATTATTACTTAATTATTTCAATGTCTCTGATTTTTTCTTAGATTTTTTGCAGTAATATTATTCCATACAGTGAATTGTGGTATATTTATATAATAAAATGTGTGAACCATCGCTGTACTCAAAATTATGGTGTGCTAATTAATGATTCAATTATTATGTTCATAAAACAATAAACAAATAGTTTTGCTGTTGTTACACTATATACACAGGTTATATATAAGTATCTGCATGTTTTGTTCACCGTAACGAACTACTAAGTTGGTCTTGTGAGTCAAAAAGCAACGAGGAGTGACCGCCACACACCAGCGAGCCACTCACTGCCACTCCCTCCCTCAACACCACCTCACTCGCCCTCATTCTCCTCCCACAATACTGTTTTTGCATTTATTCACTATACACAGACGTTATATATTTACATATTTACATGTTTTGTTCACCATAACTGTACATCTAAGCTGGTATGGGGAGTAAAGGCACAAAGACATAGCTATTCATACAGTCAGCTGATCGGCGGCCGCCCTAAAGGCCAGACGCACTAATATTTCTCCTCCAACAATATTGTGGTGTTATTACGCTATATACACACATTATATATAAGTATCTACCTGTTTTATTCACCATACCTGTCCAAATAAGCTGGTATGGTGCCCAAAGACCATAGTGGCCATCAGTAAACAATATGACAAGTCGTGCAGACGACGCTCCTCTCTCACCAAAATGGCAGCTCCCAACCTACTCCTCTTGCTGTTATCTCACACTATACACATGTTATATATAAGTACCTACATTTGTGTTCACCATAGTGAACCACTAAGCTGGTATGGTGAGTGCAGTCAATAAATAGTGGCCACACACAGTCAGAAGACGACACCACAACCCTCCCTCCACAGCCTTACTCCTCCCTCCATGGAGCACAGCGCTAAATATCACCACAATCCTGCTATTATCAGAATCCTGGTCAGTTTTATCACAGTCAGGGGTCTTCAGTAATACTGAAGAAGTGATAGTAATACTATCACTGCTAAATAATAGTATCATATATATTATGGCATTTGTAGGCGATGCTGTGGTCACAAGCTGAACAGCGGTGCTGTGAGCTCATGCTGCGTGCGCCAGCCTTGGTGGCTTGCTCAATACCGATGCTCTAACACCCAAGAATGTTGGCCTGGATTTTTTTTCTAGGTGGCATCTGGCAACTGTCGGTTGTGGCTGTACTATAGCTGCCCCTACCCCAGGAAGGGCATTTAAATTATAACGCCAGACATGAAATCATATATATATGATGTGCAGTTTCGGTTTTGTCACCGATATGTATATATATGATTTGTGTGGTTTAAGGGCTAACCATGGATGCTCATGCCTCAACAATGGTTCAGCCCCTCTCTCTCTAACCATGAATGCTTACAACTCATCAATGGTTAAGCCCCTCTCTCTAACCATGGATGCTCACGCCTCAACAATAGCTCAGCCCCTCTAACCATGGATGTTCATGCCTCAACAATGGCTCAGCCCTCTCTCTAACCATGGATGTTCATGCCTCAACAATGGCTCAGCCCTCTCTCTAATCATGGATGCTCACGCCTCAATAACTCTCTCTTCATGTCTTCCTTATTTTCATTTAATGCGTCTTGCTCATTTTATATTTTTACTGTTTATAAATCTTACTTCCCCTTTATTAATTTATATATTACAGTTTATACTTTTCTTGTTTTCTATAATTTAAAAAGTTTTAAAAGATATTTAAAATATCATAAGACATGCAAGGGTATCATGAAGAGGAAATGTTGATACAAGATTTGCCTGTAGGATTATGTGATATTATGTGACAGATGCTTGTTCTACTTGCCTGTATTTTGAAAAAGGCGGTTGTGCAGGATTGACATAACAGAACTCTTCCTCCCAGATGATCCCACTGAGCGTGCCGATTCACGCCTCTTGAAGATCAACCCAGAGCTTGCATTTTCATCTTCCTGATTAATATAACAGACACCAATGAGTAAAAAACCAGTGATGAATGTAATGAAATGCCATTTTCTGGATGGGCCCAGGAGGCTCCCTGGAGTTATTGGACTGATATGCAATATATTAGTCATGGGCATCAGTCAATTGGAGATCAGCCTACTGGGGACCACGAGCCAGAACCTAGCCCGCTCAGAGAGGCAAAGAGAGGAATGGCCTATGGAAATCCTCTTGTTCTTAAGAGTATTCCATGTCTGCCATCGACCAGGGTTAGAACCCAGAGAGGTAGGTATTACAAAACAGACCCCACATGGTAAGAAAATTGCAACCGAAGACCGAACAGCGAGGCAGAATTCCCCCCAACCTAAAACAAGCAAACAAGCAAATCTCACACCCCACCGCCGCACTGCTTATCTTCCTCCCCCTCCCCGGGAGCAGGGGGAGGGAAGGAAGCCCAGGACCCACTCATGCCATCTACTCAACAACACCCATTCAGAGGCTTAGCACCACAACAACACGAAAACCGCCAACCGGAGGGTGGGAGGGTGCCAGGGAGCCTCTGAGGCTCACAGAAAATAGTATTTCATTACATTTAACTCTGGTTTTCTGTGGGGAGCCCCCTCTGGCTCCCTGGAGCTTCCTACCCAAAGACAAGTAAAAGAGGGATTTACCCGAGAGATGGCCACCACTCTCTCCTCAACTCAAAGTTGAGACAACTGGCTGTAACCTGCTACCCAAATGTTGACTAAATAATGGGCAGCCAATACCCTGTTCGACCTCCAAAATCCCCATGCCCAAATGTCAGCCCAAGACATGTTGCCGAAGACAGCAGCCAAAGCAGCAAACTTATGAACATCATGGGCTCGAGGATAGAGTGCAGGCTGGCTAGACTTAATAACCCTGCAGACGAACTGGGAGACCCAAGCCCTGAAACAGGGAACGAGGGGAAACCGGATCAACCCAAAGTGCGTCTCTGGCCACCGACGCCGAAGAGTGCAAAAACGGCGAAGAGCCGCAACCGAACACAACACATGATGCACCCGCAACCTAACCAACCAATAATCAATGACCCAAGGGCCCCTCTGGAAAGCCGCCATCTCGTTCTTCACCAGGAAAGAAAGAGATGGCTGCAACCGAACAAAACGATCACCAGGACCGAAGGAGCAGAAACCCCTACGCCAGAGGAGAGCATGAAACTCACTCGCGATAAGAGATGGAGTCTCTCTATTTTGTTTTTTCTAGGTTTAGCAAAACATCTAAAGCAGAAAATGACCAGAGTATCGTCCTGGATGAAGAAGATATATGAAGAACATCCATCCTGGCTGAACTTCCCTAAAGATCTTCCAATGATCACATGAATGAGAAATAAATCTCTCAAGGACCACCTGGTCTGAGCAGGTCTAAGACAGGAGACCCAGCCTGCATAGTCAAGGAGCTAGGTATGCAGCGGAACTAGCCTTCCAACCCTAACTTACCTGTGGAACAAGTTTTTGAATCCCCCATAGGTTTATTCTACAAGGTTTGAAGAGTTCTTAGAAGAGCCCCCACATGCCAAAGCCAAACCCTAGAGACCAATGCCAACAGAAAAAACCAGCGTTGAATGTAATGAAACGCCATTTTCTGGGTGAGCACTGGAGGCTCCCTGGAGCTTATCGGGCTAATGTATGTTATATTAGATCGGGACATTAGCTACGGAGTTCAGACCTACCAGGGACTAGCACAAGAACCTGGCCCCTTCAGAGAGATTCCAGGGAGCAATGGCCCTGGAAAACCCCCTTGTGTTTGGGGTTTTCCTTATCTGCCCTCGACCGGGGTTAGGCACCCAGAAAGGTAGGCATAACAAAACAAACCCCACATGGTAAAAAACTAAAACAAAAATACGAACAGAGAGGTAGAAACTTCCTACAATCCCAAGGAAACGAAGCAAACAAGCAAACATCACACTTTACTGCTGCACCGATCGTCCACGCAGCCCTCCGCGCCCCAAGAGGGGAAGGGGGGAGCCCCGGACCTACCGTGCCGGCTGCCTAGCTACAGTTCAGAAGCTAAGCTTCAACCAACGTGAAAAACCGTTGACCGGTGGGAGGGAGGGTTGCCAGGGAGCCTCCGGAGCTCACCCAGAAAATGGGGTTTCATTACATTCAACGCTGGTTTTCTGTGGGGAGCCCCTACGGCTCCCTGGAGCTTCATACCCAAAGAGAAAGAAAAGGAAGGGCTAACCCAGAAGGAGGCCGCCACAAACTCCTCAACGCGAAGCCGAGACAACAGGCTGCAACCTGCAACCCAAGGCAACAAGAATGCACAGGAGCAGACGCGCATAAATAATGGGCGGCCAAGAACCTGTGCGACCCTCAAATCCCTGCGCCCGAAATGAGCCCAAGACATCACCAACACAGCAGCAAAAGCTGCAAACCACCGAACAGCACGGGCGCAAGGACAGACCGCAGGCTGGAAGACTGAAAAACTCTGCAGACGACCTGGGAAACCCGAGCCCTGAAACAGGGAACTAGGGGAACCGGATCAACCAAAAGCGCATCCCCAGACACGGTACGCAGGTAACAGCAAAAAACGCAACCGGACAACACAGGATGCACCCCCGACCAAACCAATCAAGCATCAATAACCCAAGGACCCCTCTGGAAAGCAGCCATCTCGACCGTCGCCAGGACGGAGAAAGGCTGGAAACGTACAAACCTACCACCAGTATCAAAGAGCAGAAATCTGAACCGAAGGGGCTACTACAAACTGAGGAGAAGATAAGAAGGCACGGCACGACAGATAAGAACCAGGATGGCTCAGACGACGCATGAGCAGGCCGGAGGTGAAACAAAACATGAGAATGCGTACGAAACGGGGCAGATGTGACGTCCACCCCGAACGCATGCCGGAGCGGCTCCGCCAGTGCCGCACAAAGAGAGACGACAGTAAGAAACATCAAATAACTGTAGTCCTGAAAACCCAAGAAAGGACAAGACAACCCAATGTGAAAGAGAAGACAACCTACGAAGAGCAAGAAAAAGTGCATAAAAACACCAGGAACATCATACTGTCGCCAAGAAGAAGCTCCCTGGTGGGACACCATCAACAAAGCCACCTGATCACCACAGAGATGGTGATACTCGCATCAAAATACCAGACGCGAAGTGCCAAGGAGAAGGCCGAACCAGTCACGAACAGGACTGATCTGGCCTGCCGAAAAAGGCGGAGCCGCGGGAAAAACGTCCCGGATTTGGACACCTGTCAAGCAGCGTCTGAAAATAAAGCTGGGCCGGCCACCAAGGAACCACAAGGACTACTTTCATGGGAATGGGCTCCAACCAAGCCAGAACCCAAAGTAACAGCTGGACCTGGAGAAGAGGAACGGATACCCCAACCTAGACAAGTCCTGCCAAAAAGCATCCACAGTGAACGCCTCGCAGGCGAGTAAGGGCGCCACATAAAACGGGCGACGCCTAGACCATGCCGACTCAAAGACATCCATGGCCAGGAGTCCATTCGTCCGGCAGAGCCAACAAAACGAGTTGGCAACGACTGGCCAATCCACGAACAGAGGAATGAACAGAGACAGCTGTCCGCCAGGACGCAGGACACACCCCGGACACGAACCTCACGGTTAGCCAAACCCTGAGAATCCAGCAAACGAGCCACTCTAAGGAACCAACCCCAAAGGTCAACACCTAAGAGAAACCCTGTGGTTCAGGCAAAGAACCGCCAAAGAACAGTCCGAATGGAGCTGAATGGTAGAGCACTGAATGACCCAAACCCTCCGAAGCACAAACCAGACAGCCACGAACTCCTGAACCGTGCTGTGTGCCCGACAGATGGACAGACCCCACCATCCCCGGCCGACCTGGTGAGCACTGGTCACAAACCCCAGCCGAGAGATGACCCGTCCATGAACACATCGAGCAAAGGCTCAGGGAGGTGCCAAGGCATGGAACCCCGAAACCCCAAAGAGGAGGCTGGTGAAACAGCACCAACACAAGATCCCCAGAGGAACAAACCCAAACGATTGCAAGAGAGACGGCAGGGGAGTCTCCGAAGAAACCAAACAGACGCCGAGGCCAAACCTGACCCGCGGGCAGACCAGCACGTCGAAGTTCAGACTCCCGTACAACTTGTTGACTTGAGCGGAAATTGAAACACTCATATGAAACTGAAGAAAGACAGTTAGAACAGAAAGCAATTCAGGAAATAAAGAAAAATCCAAAATATATTTTCTCATATGCGAAATCAAAAGCAAAAACCACTGCCAGTATTGGACCTATTCGTACAAGTGAAGGTTCATACACGGAGGATGACAAAGAAATTAGTGAAATCCTAAAAAAGCAGTATGAGGACATGTTTAGCACTCCAATAAACAACATGAAGGTGGAAGATCCAGACAACTTCTTTATGCGGGATATTCAAACCTCCTGTAAATATAACTGATAAAAACACGAGCGCACTAAATTTTGAGAGAGAAATTGAAAACATGCCTATGCACTCGGCCCCAGGTCCAGAATCATGGAATTCAATATTTATAAAGAAATGCAAAGTGCCGGTAGCACAGGCACTCAGTATAGTGTGGAGGAAGAGCTTGGACACGGGGGAGATACCAGATGCACTTAAAGTAGCAGACATAGCCCCTCTACACAAGGGAGGGAGCAAAGCATTGGCAAAGAATTATAGACCAGTTGCACTAACATCGCACATCATAAAAGTATTTGAGAGAGTGATTAGGAGTCAGGTCACCAATTTCATGGAGACTAATGACCTTCACAACCCAGGCCAACATGGATTTCGAGCGGGAAGATCGTGCCTCTCACAGCTACTTGAGCACTACGCCAAAGTCACTGAGGCATTAGAAGAAAAACAGAATGCTGATGTGATATACACGGATTTCGCAAAGGCTTTCGATAAATGTGACCATGGCGTGATAGCACACAAAATGAAGTCAATGGGAATAACCGGTAAAGTAGGACGCTGGATACTCAGTTTTCTGTCAAACAGGACTCGGCGAGTAACGGTC